GAAGGTTGACACGTTGTAAATTGTTAACATCTGTGTTATGTGCCCTCTGCACATTCATAATATGATTTTTTTTTTTCTTCTTCAGCTCAGTTCATCAGAGTGACTTTGGTAGAAATGAGAGTATTCAATACGTCTTAAAATATCTCCCCTAGAAGGCAGTTAACCTCAGGTTTGCCTGCTCACTGCTCAGGGCTGATTGTGCCTATGTTGCTGCTTGCATACTCGTTTTGAACCCATCCCATTACCTGCCTAACAAAGTGGGAGAGCAAAATATATTCAGCAGAGTCATCATGGGAACCACCTTCTGCAGCTCTGTAAATAAGTCACCATTTACTGTGCTGGGGAGGCTGAGATAACATCCCTCATCTGACACTGTCTTTTGAGTTGATTAGGCTTTCATAAGCAGACACTTTTCTTGTACCTGACTTCCACTTTTGTTTCTAAGGGTGGAGACCAGTCTAAGAGTTTGGCCAAAGGGAGATCTAAAGTTTAGCACATCAGATCTCACTGGTATGATCTGGCATAGATCTGAATTAATACATGAGGTAGAGAAACAAATTGTATGTCTGCAGGGTTATTAAACAACTGTCATATTTCACCACAGTTGCATGACATTTTCCTGAACTACCCTTGAACAGCTTTAGGGATCCCCCTGAATGGGGAAGTTGTATAAACAGCCCATTCATTTGAATCGTCGCCTTTCCTGAGGGAGTCATACATCCAGATTCCAGATATCGGTGGTGGGTTTGAGATTTAAACTTCATTTGAAAGTTTTATTTTTCATCAAAACTGGAATTCTGTTTTGTTCGGCTTCAGTATAACTCATGAACCAGGTGGGTTGAGCTCTGGGAAAAGTGTTGTATATACTTGTCTCCTCCTTCCTCTTCCCTATGTGCCAACAGCCGCTGCTGAAGAGGCGGCACTGGTCTTGTCGGACCCTACTCCAAACCACGGCAGCTGCTCCTACCTCACCTCTTTGTGCCAGCGGGACCTGCCTTTGCTGGCTCATAAAAAAAACCTCATAAAATATTACTGTAGTGCCATGGCCTGTGTCACAGCAGGGCAGTACGCAGCCAGGCATCGTGAAACAAGCTTGGTCCGAGAGACAGCCCTGCCCGTGGCAAGCTGTTAACCTTCGAGCCACGAGCACTAGGGAAAAGCTTTTGCCTTCAAGAAGCTGGTGGTAATATTTGGTGTTAATGGACCTTTTTGATTTATAAGACCCATAGAATGCTAGAAGCAGAATTTCCCAGGTAAATCATCAGTCTGTTGTGTTTACAGGGCTTGTAAGAAACTACAGGTTTCAGTGTTATGCTTCCCCCCAGAGCAACTGTGTTGCATAGGAAATGGCATGTGGGTCCTTTGTTTTCTTCACTAGTTCATCGTTTTGCTCCTGTGAATTAATCCATATCAACAACGAGTTGTAATAGAGGTTGTTTCTCAAGAGGAAGTATTTCTGCCATTCTTACCAATAAGTTTGCTGTTAATCAATATTTGAACCTCCAGGGCTACGAAATCTGGTACTGCATCCTTGTTTCATCTCCTTTAATGGATGGATTATTTCTGTGTCAGCTGTGGGTCTAAGTTTTCAAGTGACCATCTGTGGCAATTGGTGTTATTCAATCAGTGGTCTACAGCCCACAGGTGGTCCATAAAACATCAGAAGGTGATCTGTATAGCAGTGGGAGTTGGAAGCAAAAATCAAAGCAATCCTAAAGGCATACACAGCGATGCCCCACGGTTAGCAGCAAGCAGTGATGTGCCCGCTGCATGCAAAATCATCTCGTAGGCGCAGATCGATGGGTACAGCATCGCATGTGAATTTTTTCCCCCCAAAGGTTCATTGGCTCTTTGATTACTAGAGAAGCTTGAGAAACACTGCTTTAAGTGGTGTATTGGAGTCTTGAAGGCTTTATTTTTACCAAGATGATGTTTCAATGTGGGAAGGACATTTTTACATAGTTGCACATCAGGTTTGGAATCAAGTGATCTAGAATCTGGATGTGGGTAATTCGGGCTCTTCCTTAAGGTGTTGTAAAGGAAACTATCTAGCACAGATGCCTGTGGGTGGGTACCTGGGTCTACTTGCAGACGTTGGGGTACAGCTGTCTCTGTTTTACCTGGCAAAACGACAAAGCTCCTTTGCCTGTACTGGCAGTCCCTGAAGTGTGCAGTACACACCATCTGCCCGAAGGCAGAGAGAGGGCTGCCTCTTGTGTGCGAGCAGCGGGGACGCTCCCGTGCGTTGTGCCTGGGTGTTTGGTTTGCACAAGTTTTCCAAAAAATGCCTTTCTAGGTTTGCAAAAGAGGTGTCAAGCCTGCCCTTACCAACAGTTGCAAGAGGTCATGAACTGCCTGGGTGGTTTTCCAGTGGCCACGAGGGCCCAATGATCACAGCGAGGAATGTGTGGGCTGTTTAGCACACAGTTGTATTCGCAAATCACCTAGTTCCCATTAGTTTGTAATTGCAAGGAGATATTTCTAGAGGTGCTGTGCTTTTCAACTTGGTCTTTCTCCCAGAATGTTTTCTTTTTTTGTATGAAACAAAAAATGATTACCTTGTGGGCCTCTGATGTAATGTGCAGTATTGACAGCCTGGGGTATGAAAGGATTATGAGAAAAAAACAACACAGACTCTTGTTTCACAGTATTGTTATATTAACGTATAATATTTTTTTTAAAATATTTTTTTCTCTTAATTTTCACCTTTTGCTTGCATTCCAGTCACTGCATTTTAAGCTTTTCTTCACAATTGGGAGGACTGGAAAACCTTTGCTTCCCCTCTGTTCTTTTTCTTCTTTCTTCTTTCTTTTTTATCGTATGAAAGCTGAGATTTTTAAATAATCATAGGATTCCAAGAGGATGAGGTTTCTAAGCAAACAAACAGAAAACAACAATCCCCTTTATCCATCTTACACATCCAGGAGTGTCTTAATAAAAATGTGAACGCTGCCACACCTCTGACTGTAAGACTTAGTCTCTGCTGACAGTTTCATTTGAAATACAAGGAAAAAGACTCTGAAATAATCTCTGCTGGAATTTGAATTTGTCTCCTATCTGGAAAGCAGTATGAGTAAGCCCAGGATATCTTGAAGTGCTACTTGTGGCACTCAAAACATATCTGATGGGCAAGGCTGCAGTTCACTGCTGTATGTGATTAACTTTGAATTTAGATCAGCAAGAATCCCCATCCAAAAATTTTTATTTATATTAGTTGAATTTATGAGAGGTTATTTAACCATCACATAATACTTGTAGAAAACAAGATCTTGTACATAAAAAGTTTAGAATAAGAGATATAGGTTAAGAAAACCTTCAGGGACAGTTGGGATAACTGAACTATATATTTTTTCAGCCTGATATGCTCCTAATAAAAAGGATTTTACAGATCACATGTTTTGAAGAGTCCCTCATCACTTCACTGAGGTAACTAGGGTTGTGAGAGAACATTTCAGTAAAACTGTTCATCTTCGGAGACAAGCAATACCAGCAATGAAATGCACTTGCAAAACATGTTTTAGGAATTGAGATAGGTGCTGTATTTTGCATTCATGACTGGGTGGAAAATAAGGTTTATTGCATATAAGGGAATCTTTCCAACCAAGAGTTTTTAAGGTGAAATTAAAAAAAACATGGTATTGTTTAAAAGCATTGTGCCTCAGAAATGTTCAAGGATATTTTTTATTGAATCTAGTTCTAATAAAACAATATCATGCTGGGTGTAGTACAAAAAGAACATACTAAATTTGAAATTTTACACCATTTTTAACAACATTTGGGAAAAAGTTGGAATGCTTACATTTGAGTAAAAAATTAAACAGCTGCTAATTAGCCCTTGTTTTCAAAGTGGGAATGAAACTGTCAATCCCTATAACTCATCCTTCACCTGATAAGAATGAATTGTAGGTTTGTTTTACTGGGGTTATATCAATTTGTGCTTGCAGTTGTATTGCATAGTTGACTGGTACCAACTTTTGAACTGCAGAAGCATTTAAAAGTGTTATAACTTTTTGTGATGAAATTTTATACTCGCAAAGCAAAGGACCTCTTACAAATACAGCTTTCCTATGAGATTGGTTTTCTGTAAGTTCTGTCTTTGGTTTTCATGTTTTACAAAACTGTTAGCTTCAAATTTAAATCCTAGCTGACTTACTCAAATGTTTTGAAGATAGCAGGAAGTCTGTGATATTTCTAGCCTGATATTACAGAGTAAGGTTGCAAAGATGAATTGAAAAATCTTCGGGCAAGATCAGAATTTGGATGCTTGTCTTAAGGTTTGTCTTTGAAATCCTGCAGTCATTCTTCATCCATGAGAGAATTTCTTCTTGTTGAGTGATAATTCTGAGTAAGGCCATTAATTTTGGCTTGCAGTTACAGGCAATTAATCAAATAGGCAAGAAAAACAGTTAAATTATTATTGTTTGCAAACCTTAACTCTCTTGGGTGGAAACACAGTTGAAATGCTGACTCTCCTGTGTACTGACTCAAGCTTTCATTTCTTCCTGTGTCTTCCTTGAGTTTTATGTGGCATATCTGGATGTGCACTTTCCTGTTCATCTTCCCAGGCTCTGACCAGCCTTAGTGCCTTGTGACCTTCTTTTTCCACTACCCAAAAGTAGGCTAAACTGGGCGCCATCCTACACTTGCTGAAGGGACTGCGGGTATGTTAGGGGACAATAGAATATTGTGGTGCACAGAAACATTCTGTGTTTGCAGAAATTATGCAGCGTCTTCTGTAACATCCCCATCTACAACCTTCTTTTGTAACTCACTGTATATGTCCCCCCATTCTGCTGAGGTGCTCAGTGTGTTGCTGATTCCCTCCTTTTTCTGCATAAAAGACACAGCACTTAGAAGAAAAATTGACAACCATTTAAATAATATTGAGTAATTTATGAGACTGAGAATCGGGAAGAGGGGTGGCAGTTCACAGCCTTAATTCAATGTGTTGCAGTCACCTGTCAGTGCTAAATGTCTCACCAAGGCTCTCTGTCTTCCAGGTTTTCACAGGGAACAGCAATGCTGACAGTGTGGTTCACCACAAATTTCTGCACTCCATGAAAGCCCGCTTCTTGCGCTTCATCCCTCTGAAGTGGAATGTTGGTGGGCGGATAGGACTGAGAGTTGAGGTCTTCGGCTGCTCCTATAGTAAGTGGCTATATCTTAACCCATGTTTTCTCAATGAGATTTTTGTCAGTGCTGTGGGAGGGGTCCAGCGTAAGTTTTATGGGTAAAAATGTAATGGGAAATACATAGCCATCGTTTATTTTTTCAGTAGTTGTTCTTGCCTTTCTGCTCATGGGTGTGCTGGCCCATCTAGCTCAGCTGGTGGAGCTTTTTGAGTCCACCACAGGGCAATCTGCCGCTTCTTGTGAGTGCAAGGCAGTCAGATGCTGCAAAAACAGCTGCTCTGCTGGAGGGCACGGTGCTATTTGGGAACTTTTGTAGGGCTTTATTTAGGACTGGTGCCACCTTTTGCTAAAATAGTTTCTTTTTGTTTTTAAGGCAAATTAAGTAGTTGTTGAGGGAAATGCTGCAGATTGTACAACTAGTACTTCTATTTTGAGGCTCATGACTTTATAGCTCCAGAAAGCAGAGAACTCAGCTGGTGCTTAAACTGCTTTTGCATGAGGGTTTTTTTGGCACTCTTTTTCATAATACATGGTGATGATGCTCTAAGACATGGTTCTAAGACATGATGTGCAGTGCTTTGTCACATGAACTTTGGAGCAGCCTATAAACATTTTTGCCTTGGGACATTTTGGCCACAAAATTATGTTGGTGTACTGCTACAGTTGTATGACCTATCACCACAGAGGACTATGAATGTAAAGAAAAAGGACCAGTGTTTCTCCCTTGCACAAAATGAGAACAAGTCCACAAATGAGGAAACATATGCCTGGCATTTTTTTCTCAGGTGGCTGTGGGGTTGTTTCTGAAATGGTCAAATGTGACTTGAGACACTGCTGGAGACAGGAGATATTGCTGGGGAGAGTTCAGGGCATTAACAGCATTTTACCAGTAAATTCAACATGGTGTGGCACAAGTCACCACCATGTGACACTTCTGTATGTGTACATCTCTCAGTTTAGCTCAGGTCTCCATCTGCTCCTACTGGGTGCAGAAAAGGGGTTGTAAGATAATAAACGAAATAACTATTTGTGAGACTTTTTAAATTAATCTGAGGAGAATTAAAGAGCAAAGTGCCTGAAACGTTTTGAATTCACATGATGCCATTGGACAGAGACACAGCTCCAGGATTATGTGGCCTCATCACTACATTCGGGTCTTAGGACTGATTCACATGGCTTAACAGGGAGATCCTTGTTATGGTCTTGTGTGTAGATCTAAAAGATCCATTTAGCTTTTTTTAAATGCTGCTTCTCCACCTACTTTGATGGAGACTATTTTGATGGCACTGTGGACCACCATTCATTTAAGTACAGACCTTCAACATACCGGTCTGGATGGATGGTCACTAGGGCAAGAGACCCTTTCTAGGCCTGCTAGTGGACATGGAAACTGAAACCTAGAAATCAAAACCAACTGCCTTAGCTGCTTTGGAATGATGTCATCATTCTCATCTGTTTTCAAAGAGCTTTCTTCTGTTAATTATGACCAAACTTCTTCAGTGAAGAGTACAGTCCAAACAGACGTGCAACAAATAGAACTCAAACTGATGGCTGAATATGTTTTGGTGCTACTCCATGTGAAATACTACACGAGCGCTACTTTCATGTTGGACTATGGCTGTAGCCTGTATGATATGAAGAAGACTTCAGAGTCACCTGCAGGCTGAAATTTTTTGTGCTGATATCATCTAAGTCTTCATCTTTGTCCTGTACCCTGCAGTTACAGGAAATAAAAATGGTTGTGCAGAATTAAAGTATGAGATTGAAGCAAGCCAGAAAGGAAATAAAGGGATTCATAAAAGTTTTATGGAGTGTTGAAATATTAATTCCGTTTATATAAATGTGCCATTCAAACTTCTCTCTGGCAAATTGCATATGCCAAGCAATACCTGCCTACAAGTTTTGCTTATATAGTTTCAGAGTCTTGGCTACTCCTAACCCAGGCACTCCAGCACTGCACAAAAGATGTTTGATCATTTATAAAATGTCATCTTTACTGTTATACTGACAGAATATCTGCAGCAGATCCTGAGCTGATGTACACCTACATAACAGCATTTTGTAATGTTTGACAGCATACAGGCTCATCCACCATGTTCAATTCTGGCACAAGATATATATTAGTAATTTGAAAAGAGTTTAAAAAAAATGACAACAAAAATCACTAAAGACAGACTGTTGGACAAGCCAGGAAGGAAATGGAGCTAGAAGAAGAACAAATGTTCCAAATGTGCACCATGTCTAAGAAATGACCCTTCATACACGTATCTGTCTGCATATGACAGAAGGAATGTGAGGCTAGGAGTAGGGGCAGTATTACAGTCGCTACCTGTACCAAAGGCTTCAGCTGATATAAATTTATCCATAAGAGCCAAATTCCCAGTTATGCCTTATCCTTTTTAAGCTGTTGTAATGACTTAAAGGCTTCTATAGGTAAACAAACTCAGAGTATTTGATCTTAAGTCCACTGAAGTTGAAGAAAGGATTTTCGCTGGCATTTTAGCTTTGGATCCAGTCCTGAAGTATAGGATAAAAAGACAACACATGGATGGGGAACACGTATGAGCCAAATCCTTCACAAACATTCATTTGTGACTGTGAGGTCATTTCTACCTCTTAGCCCACTAGTAGAAGCAGGTTGAAATTCAGATTATGCTGGACTCCTGGATGTCCATTTGACCTTCAGGCAAATGTTGCCCCAGAAGTGCAGCACCTGATCTGGAAACAGAGTTGTTTCCTATTGATATCTGAGACAAAAAACTGCTGAAGTAAAGTTTTCATTTACAAGCGAGTTGGAGACCCTTTTTGTGTAAGTGTCAGCATTCATTGGTTGGCTGAAACAAAAGTCTGGGGACACTGACAGCTTAGGCTGTTTCATATGCTGCTGCACATCTGTTAAAACCCTGGAACTACTGCCAAACATGCAGCTGAGCACCTCTCTGCAATACACCAGGGCATGCCTGTGGTTCCTTGGGTGGTCTGTTCACATCAGCTCCTTTTTAACCTTGCATATTCGAGCAGAAGACAGCTGTAGGAGAGGTTTGTGGCTTCGCTGCTGCTTAAGCATTTTTGTGATGGCAAAGTTAGGTGAATGTGATGCTCCTGTTCCAGCACAAGGCTCTGATGTCCCATTTTTGGAGTATGACTGATCTGTGCAGCATACTCTGCTGAAGATGTCCCAGGAGCGTGACCTTGTGCTAACTTTTGGCAAATGCAGCTTTCAATGATGACTATTTAGTAGGGGGTGTGTGGAAGGCATCAAATCTTGTAGGTCACCAAATACTGACAGGACACAGTAACAATAAATACTAAAGAATCATATTAGAAATTAACTATTATGTGCAGTGGATGCCAAAGTGGCAAACTCAAGGTGTAATTGCACTGTGCTGCTGAGTGACACTCACTGTTGTTACTCCTGCTAGAAGTAATTTACTACTAGGAATTTATCCCCAAAACACCTCTGTTAAACAACAGGACTTTTGTCTTCCCCCCCCCCTTTTTTTTCTTTTCACCCTCTAATTGGGTGCCAGTTGACATTATTTCTTTGGAACATTAAAACATATTTTTAACAGCAAAGCTGTTTCAAACATGTGAGTGTGCTTGACCTTATCCCATACGTATTGAAGTTCCTGTACAACAGAGCACTCCAAGGCCGTCAAATCAGCTGGAATTCACAGATGACTAATGTTGTTTACTTTCTTACACAGAAAGTATGTATTTAAATGAAAATTAATTACAGTTATTTGAAATTCCTGTAAAGATTCCATCATACATCCTCAAAATAGGTTCTGAGACAGAAAGGAGATGATCTTGATCTGAAAATACATATTAGCATTTCCTGTTCAGAAAATGATTTATGATCAGTTAAATAGAAATTTCCATGCAGAGGTATGTGTAAGCTTTCAGTGTCCCTTTGCAGCAGTGGCTCCAGAAGCAGTGTGATTGTAACAGATAACCAGAGCTGCAGCAGCAGATATGTTCAGACAAATGGCAAACCAATTGCTTTTGATGCTGGGGGTGCTGGGGGAGCAGGAGGGGGGAATGAGTATATCTTTATACTTGGGAAAAGTCTTGTTAGCTTAGTGCAGGAAAAATAATATCTGCTGACACAATTGCTTTTATAGGGTAAGATTTGTAGCTGCATTGAAGATCATATTCTGATCATATTCTATAACTGGTTAACAGCCCAAAATGCATCAGCAGAGTCAGGTGTATGTGCAGTTAACAGGCTGGGAAAACACAGGAGAAACAGTGATAGGGTGTGAGACAGAGTATCTTCTGCTTTTGAGAGCCAACTTCTTCATTTGCAGTTCAGGACTCCAATTTCTAGTCTTTTGCTGTCATTGCTTCGGGGAATATGATCTGATAATGTGCTTTTTGATTAAATGATATTTTTACTGGATCTTTTTTCTGTCTGGTTTTTTTTTTTACTTTTTTTTTTTTTTTTCTCCTGCCTTTCTCCATACTCTCTTTTGTCTTCTTATGAGATAGAAAAGAATGCATTGCAGAGAACCACTTAATGACTGGTGGGCATTGACCACTAGTGTTTGTAACCAGCTGTGTGAAATAAATACCTAGACAATTTCTTACCAAGAGGCAGACATAGATTTGTGATAGGAAAAAACTTGCTCAGAGAACAGTCACCTCTGCAGTGCTCATCCACATTCATCCCTTGGATTGCATGCCTGAGAGGATTATGGAGAGGGAGGTCAGATTTCTTCAGACTCTCTCAAGCCAGTAAGGCATGACTGGCCAGGAGAGACATCTGTTCAGACCAGGAACAGTTCTGCAAGGAGTTAAACTTCTGTTCATTGCCGCAAGTGTGAGACCAAAAGTCCCTGTCTCAAACTGCAACTGTTCCTGCACGATATTTTTGTATTTTGTAATACCTTTGCCATGTAAGTGTTTTCTTTTTCCAAAAACACTACGAGAACCATCTTTGTCAGAATGAACGTTTATCCTCTCTGCTCCAGGAGCAGATTGCTGCACAAGTAAATCCCATGCTCTCACATTGCTCCCAGTCTGGACCCTCTCAGCATAACTGGTCCCACGCATTGAGCTCTGTGGTCACATTCTCCCCCCCCACCACCACCTTTTTAAATGCTGAATTAACCTTGTAATCCAGCTTCAACTGCCTGTGTTTTCACTTACTCCCAAGTGACTTCAATGTTTGAAGCTGTGTTGGGAAAGCAAATTCAAGTGGAACAATGTAACCAGGGCCCCTGGGACCAGAAACTCTACTGAGTTTCAGAAAAGCATGATGAATGATTTCTATTTTATAGGAGCTTCTTCACCTGTGAGCAGAAGGAAGTATGCATTTACAGCAGAGGCATCTGTTTGAACTGTTGGTCAGAGGAGAGTAACATGAAAGAAATGTCTTTAGCCTGATCTCACTTTTGATTTCTCATCCTTGTTCTCTTGCTACAAGTGGATTATGGACATACATGGACTAAATAAACACTAAGTAAACAAGCAGGTTTTCTGGACTGACTGTATTAGAATTATGCTGTATCTTTCAGTTTTTAACAGGAAGCCAACGATTTGTTGTCACGCAGACTGCCACTAATGACTTTTGGCTGTCAGTGTTAGCATTTATTTGACATATTCCCATTTCATTCAGGGCTATTTATTGGCCAATGTGCTCACAACCGATAATTAGCGAAGCAGAACTTTTCAGAAACAGGTTTTCCTTTGTGTTCTACTCTGTTAATGTCAGTGGTAGAGCTCTTCAGAAAATTGCATGTTATGCTGTGGAGAGTTAAGAACAAGGACTGAAGTGTGAATTCAGACTGGTTGAAAGCCTAGATCTTAAGAAGAAGAAAAGGCCACTATTACAGCAACCTTGAATCAGTGCTCTCTTACAATATTTTTGTTTTTTGAGAGCTAGGCGGAAAATCAACTTTAACTGAGAAATGTGCTGGAAATCAAGGACTTCTTTATAAGCTATTTCCTAATTCCTGACTGTGTTAAAATGAAACCGTTTTATGATACATTTGCAATTTACTTTAAACAAATTGAAGTATTTAATGTAGCTAGGGGAAATTCATAAGAACTAAAATAGGAATTTAATTCTCTTTATAGAAACTGGAAGTCAAGATGTCAAGGAGCTCTTTCTGAACACCTAATTTAGAAGTGAAAAAATAGTAAAATCAGGTGGCATGAATACTTTTGTATGCATGATACTTCCTAAACTAGCAACTGTTTCATGTGTGCTCCTAAACAACATATTGTAATTCTGACATCACAGATTAGAAGTCAGTGTTAGTTTATTCTGGAGTGACTTTTTCCCTGGGGTAGAATTTCTTTGTAGTTTTATTTTCATAAGAAATAATGAGTTGCCTTCTGATTTGGAATGGAAGTAGTTGTGGAGTGACAGAATTTTGCATCCAATTTAAATGCTGAGCTCCCTCCAAGTCTGTAAGCATGCCATCAAACTTCTGTACAAACTGTCATACTGACATGCAAGTTATAGATGGTAGTCTTCATGATAAGAAATCATTAACAGGTCCTTTATTTTCTGAGTTTATAATAGGTTTTAGTTGCAAACCTTTTTAAATTTTAGTTCTTTTTTAAAAAAAAAAAAAAAAGAACAAAAAGGGGAAAAAAACCCCAACCCTTATTATTTTTGTTTTTAAAGAGTAGCAAATGAAACTACAATTAACGCTCAAAAGCACAGCTCAAAAGAACTCTCAAGGGAACTTAGGTGACTTAAATCACCAACCTTAATCATAATGCAGTTACTGACCTGGAAGTCTTGAGACCTTTCAGTTATTTTTCAAAAGAAAATGGAAAACTAATGTCTTTGGATTATCATTAAAACTAGGTTTACTCTTTCTTCTTTTTCTTTATGCATGTATCCCAGTATTTATGTAGCTTAGTAAAGCCTTCTTCAGATTCTTCATCCTCTAGTGTTCTTCATTATTTTTTTTTCATAACAACAAGAAATACCAATTGATAGAATTATTATTATATTATCCATAATTTGTATCAAATTGCATTTGGAAATTGGAACTGAATTTACATATGTCAGTCACATTTTGAATACATTGTGTTAATTAAAAGTATTTAAAGCTACTGAAATGTTCTGGTTATATACATTTTTTTTAAAAAAAAAAAGTTTATTAAAAATACATTTTGCTTAAAATAACACTTTAAAAAGCAAAAAGGGTACTGCAGGCTGCTGCTGCCATAGAAAGTATTAATTGCAATTGAAGAATTAAAAGCTTGTTTCCTACTACAGTGATGGGGTTTTAGAGGCTGGCTGAAGGGGAAAATATGATTCTAATAGGATTTTCAAAGGTGTGTAATCAGTTTAGATGCCCAGTTCCCATGAAATCCCTTCAAAAGCTTTTTGAATTGATATTTGGCTATTTCTGCCAGCCTAGTCATTTTGCATGCGGAAACATGGTTGATAAATGCCCAGCACAAACAAGCAGCCAAACCTCAGAGGCTAAGATGAAGCTTATTTGGATGCAAAGGTGGATGCAGGCATGCCTGACACACAGAAACAGCTCAACAGATGCTTGTGAAGCTACAAAAAGTGGAGTGAAAACTGAAGTGTTCAAAGTAATGAATAACATCCTGGGTGTGTTTATGAGATAAACAGCCAAAGTGGCAAGGGATGCTCTGGAGATCTCAAAACGATGGAAGTTTTGAGATGGTTCTGTTCTAAGAAGTCAAGTGAGAAAGCACTCTTGCATGAGAGAGAGGAAGAAAAGTGCAGAGAAGTTCTGCTTTTGTCTTAATGTTCCTTTTCCCCACACAGAGGGAAAGGATTGGAAATGGGTGAAACGTGGTTGCCTAGATGCCACGTATGGCCTGTGGATGTATGCTTCTGAGAATACCTGGCTCCAAGTGATATTTGAAAAGATCTTGAAAAAATGCAGTCCCTCTCCTGGTGCTGCCCCTCCTCTTCATTTTGCCATGTTCTTCCTTCCAGAGTCAGATATTGCAGACTTCGATGGCAGAAGTTCACTCCTCTACAGGTTCAATCAGAAGCTTATGAGCACATTCAAAGATGTGGTTTCCTTGAAGTTCAAGAGCATGCAGGGGGATGGAGTTTTATTCCATGGAGAAGGACAACGTGGAGATTACATTACCTTGGAACTGCAGAAAGGAAAGCTCTCCTTGCACATCAACCTGGGTAAGGGTGATTAGTTCATATTTAGGATTTGGATTATTAGTTCACATATTACTCTAACAATAATTATTTTTGTTTGCTTGTATAAATATATTGTTTCTGTTAGGCAATATGTAGAAACCCCAGTTGAGATTAGCAAAACATGCTGTATGCCTCAGACAGCTCACAGCTTAAATACTAGTCGGGGAGGTGGTAGGGTAAGCAACAGAGAATAGACTTGACAGATGTCCCGCAGGGCATGAGCTGAGCCAAGAAGAGACCTTGACTCTATTACCTAGTGTTAACCAAGGCTGAGCTACTCAATGGCTACTTTTGAAGTTTTGACCTTTGCTTGGTGATGCTTTCAAGCAGTGACTTTTAAAAAAACCTAAATCTTTCATTTCTTCACCTTCCTCCATTTTTATTTTTATTATTATTGTTTTTAAGAATGACATTCCCAGGAAATTTGATTTGGAGTGCAAAAGATTTATTTTGGTTTGTGTCTTATATTTTCTATTCTGTGATCAGAACTGAGAAGAGAATATAAATTTTAAATGAAAACATCCTGGTGAAAATATTGTGCACACTGGTATTACTTTGCTTCTGGATATGGTTTCAGCTGAAAACTGTGAATATCTCAAGGCCATCACTGTGTGATCATGGGGACAGATGAAAGGCTAGCTTAATTTCCTTCTTTAGAAGGATGATTGCTTTTTCCTGGTGAAAACACTAAAGCACTTTGATAATGACAGGAGCTACTGTAGTAGGAGTGATCATACCCCCTCTCTCAGCCTTATTTCAAAATCTTCATTAGATTAATCTGTGGGTGACCCATGGTACTGGCCTCAGCAGTCCCTGCTGACTCACATTTCTCATACTGAGGGCTTTCAGTTGGGCAGAAGTTTCCATACCTGCATTGCTGTATTTTGGTCAGCACAGAAGCTGCACTTACTATGTTCATAGAATCATAGAATGGTTTGGGTCAGAAGGGACCTTAAAGATCATCGAGTTCCAGCGTCCTTGCCATGGGCAGGGACACCTCCCACTAGAGCAGGTTGCTCAAAGCCCCATGCAGCCTGGCCTTGAACACCTCCAGGGATGGGGCATCCACAGCTTCTCTGAGCAACCTGTTCCAGTGTCTCACCGCCCTCACTGTAAAGAGTTTCTTCCTAATACCTAGTCTAAATGTCCACACTTTAAGTTTAAAACCGCTACCCCTCGTCCCATTGCTACACTCCCTGACAAAAAGTCCCTCTTCATCTCTCCTGTAGGCCCCCTTTAGGCATTGGAAGGCTGCTATAAGGTCTCCTTGCAACCTTCTCTTACACAGGCTGAACAACCCCAACTCTCTCAGTCCGTCCTCATTGGAGAGGTGCTCCATCCCTCTGATCATCTTCATGTCCCTCCTTTGGGCTTGCTCCAACAGGTCCATGTCCTTCCTTTGCTGTTTGGGCATTGAACTTGCTCTGAAAGCCCCAGTGGCCCACCCAGATGGAAAGCTGAAACAAAAGCCCTCACTGTGCTAACCACGGGTGCGTGGGCAATGAGGTGAGGGAATTAAGGTCCAAGGTTTTCACTGCCGCTCTCAATCTTAATAAATTTGATCAATAAAGTAATCCAAGCCATTTGCAGTTCAGGTACGTGGTGCTTATTCTGCCAAGGCTGGTTTTAATAAAAATGGGAATTGCAGCATCTATTAATGTATTGTATTAGCAGGGCAGATCTTGCACTGGCAATTCTAGGACACATTAAGAAGTTTGTCTAGAGCAGATAAAATAGGCAACAGTGCAGTATCTATTTCAGTCCCCTGTTGATGACTTGGGGAATTAGAAGAAAAGTGAGAGAAAAGTGGAGGTACTAAATCAGAATTTGTAGATAATTCCTTCTGTATTTCCCCCCTCATGCTTAATTGTGTTTATTTTAAATGTCAGTAAAAAATTTCCGTAACACTTTGACTTAATTTTTACTAATGAATAAAGTTAATGAATTGTTTAGTTTCCAACTAATATTTTCTTCCTCCCTTCCTCTCTTTCTCTCTTCCTTCCTCTCTCTCTGTTACTTCATCAAAGAATAGAAATGATAATGCAGCATTTTTCTGATGTGTTATTTGGATGTTACTTGGACCAAGTAGCTACATCCTGAATGTAGCATTCTTTGACACCATATATTTGTGCTCGTCTTCCAAATGTTTCATACTAGGATAAGAATATAGTATAGTTAAATATATTATGTTACTTCTTCCAGAGGAGATGTTGTGAAAACATAGTCTGAGAAAAGAATTTTTTTTTCCTTTCAGTAGTAGCCCCAAAGATACAGATTTCAGCCATTTCAAATCCTCTGTGTGCACTCATATGTCATGGGCAAGGGTTTTGACGTCTGCTCTTGAATCTTCTCTCATGTTGCCTGACAGTTTTGGAACATGTGTTGCTTCCATTCTGCTGAGATATAAAAAAGGGCACCCACTCCCTTTCAATGAGAGGATCTGAAGTGTTTAGATGTGTAGCCAGCTGGAAAACAGAAGAGTGCTTGAAATCACCAGGGTTAGGGCCTAAATATTTTTATGACTCTTGATCTAAACTATTGGAGATCTAGGCCAGATTTAAGAATCTTTGTGAGCTGAAGAAAACACTTGCGTTCATGTTGCTTCATCGATTTGTGGCTTTTTTGTTTCTTCTGTAAATGGACAGGTACAATTTTCTTGTTAAAATACAAAAAGCACATAGTTGAAACTGAAATGTCAGGAGTGATCTATTAATGTGAATATAGATAGGAGATTGTGGTGCACCCCGAAGGGAGCTTTTAAGACATCAGGGTCTGGAATGCACAGCAGAACAAAGGACACAGGCAGAGTGACAATTCCCGGTGTGCTGCTGTGCGTGTGTGCAGCATTGAGAAGTTCTTCTGGCTTATTGCAAGGATTTCGGGAGGAAAAAAACATATGTGTGTGCATGCGCAGATACATTATACGCGAATAAGAAGCTCAAAGAATCTAAAGCAAGCTTTGTCAAGGGTCTGTTTCTGATGGGCAGAGATGTGTGCATCTGGATGTGCATTGCTCTGTGCTCCCTTTGAGCCCTCCTGCTTCAGTTAAGGGCCTGGAGATAACTCTGTGTCTTCTGCCTGTCTCTGCCCCTCCAGGGGACTCCAACCTGCACTTCAGTAACAGCCACACGTCCGTCACCCTGGGCAGCCTCCTGGATGATCAGCACTGGCACTCAGTTCTCATTGAGCGCTTCAACAAGCAAGTGAACTTCACGGTGGACAAGCACACCCAGCATTTCCGAACAAAGGGGGATTCAGATCACTTGGATATTGATTATGAGGTGTGTGAAGCCTTTTAGGTTATAACCTGGGAGATGAGGCTGAATTGGTATAAAATGAATGTGACTGAAAACATTCACCCTATGAGCTGTTTCTTTTCAGCAAAGAACTTTTCTTTATGTAATATTTCCTTCCCACAATGCTCCTTTCATAGTTAACAAATATAGACTACGTCAGTGTGACTCTATATATGACAGTCTCAGAAAATCGCCTGTCTCTGGACAAATGTGCTTTGGATTATGCTTACACTTCAAAGTACGGCAGACTTTGACCTAAACTAAAAAGTATACCTTGGGTTCTAGTCAAATTTTCAGGGGGCAAACACACTTTTCTGTAGGGAGAGGTGCTGTGTCATCATCTCCAATATGGTTTTAATGGGATCGTTGCACACCATCCCTGCATCTGATTGACGATACCTGCTCTGAGTTGGGCCTCTATCCAGCCACCACTTGCTTGGATTACAGCTCTCCACATAGAGATGAACAGGTAAAGATTATTGCCTTCCCACTGGGAATGGGAGGCCCTCAGCATGACTGTAGAGACAGCTAGCTCTGACCTTTCACATCTGGGGTTTTGATGCAGAGCATCCTGGTCTAGGGTACCAGAGCAGCTCAGCCAAGGAAGGACTGAACAGAGGAAACATCCTCTCTGCCCATAAAACCTGAGACTGGTGTGCTCCCTTGTGATGAGGCCACGGTGTGGCGGAGTGCAGTTTATATCGCTCCAGCAGTTCAGTGCTGATAGTAAAAAATACCTTAAAAAAGTTTTCTGTCATCGTATCTATATGCAAGGCAATTCCTCATCTCTTCCACCAATGCACACCAGACTGCAAATTGCCTATGTTCATTTTTATCCCCATGCTCTTGTCTACTGAGTCTTGCTAGCCCGCAAGGCACAGGGTCATGCTCGCACAGTCAGAGCCATCACCCTGTCTGGATGCGTTGAGCTGGCACGGTTCGTTGCTTAAGAGACCACAAGTTTCCCCTCTGCACTTTGGATTCATTTCCCTGCAAAGGATCAATTCCCAGCATACCCAAGGGACAAAAGCAGACAGCTCGGCAGTGGCAGGTGCCTGCTCTCCGTTCCTCATGTGTTTGGCTGAAATTCCCCCCTTTGCATTTCACAAAGCAGAGTGGAGAACGTGGTACCTGTCCCCTGGCACTGCTGTACCACATCACAAGTACATTTATTAGGGAGAGCACACTGGAACAGTAAGATTCTGAAACAGCTTCAGGCTGAACCAGCAAGGGCCAAAGCTGTGACTACTTTTAAGATGGAGTTAAGAAAAGCCAAAAAAATTATTCATCAACTTTCCTAATTTCAATGTAATAAAATTCCTTGCTTCCTGATACCAGGTTGATGCCTATTAGGGAAATCTCAGGCTCCAATGTAATTTGCAGGACATTTTCCCAGATGTTCCAAAACAGGGATCATGCTAAAGAAGATGTTTAGCTGATGTAAATTGGCATTACGACTGACCTCTGTGGCACTCAGTCCTGGCCTCTGGTGCTTAGTTTTTCACACAATGTGTTTCCTTTTGCACTGAGACAATCTTACAGTTGAACATTATAGCAATACAATACTGAAAGTTTATCTCAGCAGACTTTAGGGATTAAAGGCCTTACTAAGGGTATAAAACCATTAGTTTAGTAATTAAAATTATTACCAATCACAAAGGAAACCATTTTCTTAATAATGTAGTGGTATAATTGATATTGATTTTTCTTCTGGTTTTGAAACCCAGTAGAGAGTCTCTAAGCAGGAGACTTAAAGAATAGAACAAGAAAGAAAGAAAGAATGTCTGGTGTTTTAAGGAAGAACTAATGATTCTCACTGGAAAAAACCACATTGCTACCATATAAGCCCTCATGCCAATAACAAACCTGCAAGGTATATAAAGTAACAGGCTGTTTACTCTCTATTTCTCTGAAGCGATCAATTAATACATCTGAGGTGTGAGTTCATTAAGGACTTGTTTTCAAAGAAGTGCTTTCAAGGTTATACAGGGAGTTTTCATTTGCTTATGTGTCCCAGCTTGTTAGGTGGAGTGAGAGGAAAAAAACATATGTGTATATAAAAATAAATTCCCTTTATTTTTATAATAATGAGCTAGGCAAGCCATTAGGAGCCATGACAGAGGAGCAAGGCTGCCTAGGTTCCAGCAGCTGTCAGCATGTCAGAGGTACCACCCAGCAGTGCATGCCCTTGCTGCAGTGGATGCAGCAGAATTGCAGCACAGCTCCTGAAGTGCTGGAAGTACTGTGAGGTGTGGTGGCTGCAGGGCTCCCACCTGCATTATATCACTCATGATGCTACTGGCTCTGATGGGAAAAATGAGTAAAAATCCAGCAGTACCACCTGTAAGACTTTGTCAAAAAAGCCAGTGAAATTAACTAGAAATGAGCTTTGTTACCTGAAAAATGAAAATAGGGTTGCCAGAAATTTTTTGGGGTTGTGGGCTTTGATTTTTATTTTGTTTTGTCTTTTTTTTTTTTTTTTTTTTTTTTCCTTAGGAATCTGAAGTATTTGTGCTTCTAGGGTTTGGGAAGCTTTATTTTCCTCAGCTTCTTGTCCTTCCAGGGCTTTCAGCCCTACAGATAAGTGATGAGTTGTAATCTGCACAATACTAACGTCTTTCAGCATTGAAAAAACAGCACAGTAGAAGTTTTGTTTAAATGTGTAACCTGCAGAACTTCTCCATTACACTGGTCAGTCCCAAACACCGTGGTCCAGTTTTGTAAAGACCAAATCACAGTGAAATTTAGGGAAAACGATTGCAAGGTGCAAATGGGGTAGTTTGTGTGTGTGATACTACCCTCCACTGGCTGAAACCAGAACTGTTCAGATACATGCTTGGTGGAAAGGGGTGACTCCAGCTCGCAGGCAAACTCAGTGCTCTGTGGGCAAGAAGGGTTCATTCCCCCATTGCTCGGTGGCCCCTGGTCACAGTGATCTGCTGCTGGGTGACAGCCTCCAGGCCAGTGGGAGCTGTGGGATGGAGAGTGTTTGGTCATTACCTGATGCATTGGGTGCTCCTGAGTTGGGAGCCGGTGATACTGGGAGTTAGTGAAGTGGTGTGTCAAGGCACACCAAAGCTGTTTCCAAAATAGTAAGGTGTCTGCAGCAGTAGCGTTTCTGCAACAGCTGTAATGCTATGCAGCCTGTAATTCCCCTGTCGGGCAGCCAGGTCCTGCTTCATACTCTGAGATGATGCTATTAACATGACTTGGTTCTTGGATAATAGCCAGTCTGGCTGGCTGAATGCAGTCAGGCTCTGCTTTCTTGTTTTGGGGTTGATAACTAAATAATGTTTTTATTCTTTCCAAAAGCTCAGTTTTGGAGGGATTCCTGTCCCAGGAAAACCAGGAACCTTTCAGAGGAAAAATTTCCACGGGTGCATTGAGAACCTTTATTACAATGGAGTCAATATAATTGACCTGGCAAAAAGGCGCAAACCTCAGATCTATACTGTGGTAAGAGACAATAACCTATGCTTTCCTTCTTCACTTCTCTGCTCTTGATGGTTCCAACTGCACTGAATGAATGGAGTGCAGATTTGGATAGCTATGGGCATAGCTAGCTTGTTTAAAAGATATTGCTGAGGTTAATATCAGCCAGTGCTGACTGCTGTGCTGAGAGTTATTGAAGACATGTGGAAATTAATATATTTCTCTGACTTTCCAGGTGTATTAGAATTTGTTTGAAGAAACTTTTAAATTCCTTTTCCAAGATCAAAATGTGTCATTTTGATGGCATGATAGAAGTCCTAGAGACTATTTTTTTCTGGTTAACTCAGATGAAATCTTATTTTGTGAACCATTCCCCATCACTATTGTGGAGTACAGTAGTAGCAAAATTTTATTCTGCTGTTTGAGTTTGTATTACAGAGAAGAATACAGGTTTCTTTTATTAATGGAAATATTTGCCCTCGTGCTGCCCCTTAAATTTAGCGTATTTGCAGTTCTGAGAACCGTTGACCTGGTACTAGTGTCTCTAATTGGTGTCTCTAACTGGGGAACAGTAGAAGTAAAGGAAAAGGAACTATGGCTTATCCAGCCTGCTATCATAAAACATAAATTTAATTTCATACCTAATAATGTTAAAAAATTACATATATATTTAAATATAACATGAACAAAATAAGGAATGTTTTCTTTCATAAAAAGGGGAACAGTACACTCCCATGCAGTCTTGAAAATTTGTAAATAATTCAGTTTCTTTGTTTAGTTTTTGCCTCACTCCTGCACCATGCTTTGATATCTGCCTTTTGGCTAATATTGTGTCTTTGGAGAACGAGGAGGTGAAACTGCTTCTGGCTGTCATGGCACCTCCTGATTTGTACTAATGTGTATAAACAGGCTGAAGCTGCAACAAAGCAGCCTAGAAGTCCTTCCTTTCCTCACTTTCCCTGCTTAGGGCAAGGCTGAATAGCCAGGGAAATGGAAAATGAAAAAGTGATGGGTGAGAAGTCCTACATTGTGTTGCTGGCAGTCAAGGCTGCCTCCAGGATGCTCCCCTAGCCTCCTACTGAGAGGGCTTTGCTTTAATAACCTCAAATGTGATTTCTGACTCAGGACTCTAAGGCACAAATCTTATGAACTGTGTTAAATTGCTCTTCCCCTCACCTTATTTTCTAAGGGGAGGAAACACCCCTGATTTGCTTCTTAAATTGTCAAAGAGCTGGTTGTCTTGCCAGCTGGGTTGAAAAACCAAAAACAAAAAAAACCCCACCAGTAAGGTCTTCCTAAAGGAGAAAGAAAAACTTTGTAATGTGCTTTTTCTCTGAAGAGTATTGCCTGGGTATAACATGGCCCCAGGCAATGAAACTCTGTCATCACAATACTTGGTTCAGCCAATCAGCTAGATTGAAGGTCTAGGAACCCTGCTCCTTTTGTCAATTCAAGGTAGATGGGATCTGCCCCCATCCTTCAATCTCCCTCACAGAAGTGATGATTTTAATGCAATAGTTTCCAAAGGCTGGCTGCTCTACTGCGTTTTGCAAGTTTTATGAGCTGCTATGTGCTGTGTATGTGACACTTGAGTATGCAAAGTGCATGGAAAGGTTGCCACAGTCGCAGTGCCTCATAATCTTAGATTAACATCCTTCTATAGGAAACAGCCCCCATAAGTCTGTTGTTTCCCAACATCCTTTCCATCACAGCTATTTATCTCCTCTAGCAACTCTCAGGTACTTCCAGTTTTTACAGATTGATTGCCTTCTCCCATCTTCCCGCTCTTCCCCACTCCTTAGCAATTTACTTACTCAAATTAAAATAACTTGTTCTTGCTAAATGTAGTCTTTTGCCTGCCAGACTTCCTCTGCACTACGTGCTTTTACTCAAAGTTCATAGAGGTTTTCAAGCAACAGTCCACGTCCCCAGGGAGCTGCAAGCTTCTCTGCTTCGCATCTTTGTAGTTGCTAAGGTTGCCTGGAGTGGAAATGCAATGAAAGGAACAGCACAGAAGAATAATTAAATATAGCAGAGACTTGGAATCACTTCTTCCAACAACATGTTGTGTACTTGTGTTTGCTCCCCACAAGCGGGAGATTACCGGAGATGGTTCTGTATTGTTAGTCTTCAAAATACCTTTGTCTCCTAACAAAAGATATTTGAGAACAAACTGGCCATTTTTGAATTAGAAATTTCTTAATGCTCAGAGACACTAGTTTTTGTCTTCAAAAGGGAGGCAGACTTCCAACACTCAGTCTCTGCTTCATTCTTTATGCCTTTGTGAATGTTGACACAGTAGTGAGTCAAACTTACAGGTTTTCATGCCCATCAACTTGGGATTTTTTACTGTTGACATCTTTCACACAAGCAGGAGAATGATTCATCATCTTTGGAGTTATAGATTTCTTCTTATGAAGTGGTTCCTAATCCATATAGATAATGGTCCCAAATCAGTTGCCTTTAAAGTCAAAGGAAGAAACTATAGGTTGTCGGTAACAGAGTACTGTACTGTGCATCATACTCTTGGGCGGTGGCTATGATTATCATTCCACCTGTTTTTTTTTTTGTAACTCATTTGCAGTTGTCAGACTTGCAATAAATCCCCTTGAGAAGAATCTCAAGATAACGAGACAGCCTACCTCTTTGAACTGGAACTTGCCTTCAGTATTCCATTTTTATAATGCCTCATACTTAACCCCTCTGCATGGTAGCCCTATCAATTTGGACAGGCTATCTGTCTTCTCTCTGGGGTTTCTTCTGTCCCTGATGGCATGTTGTGGGTATTTTGTTGTGTTTGTTTTTTCTCCTCTAGGGCGTTGAGTATGGTGAAATGACAGGGGTTTTTTTATTTGCTCTCTGAAGCAATTACTGGTTTTAATTGCAAGAGGTTAGGAGAAATCAAATTTCTGTAATTACCACTGTCATGGTCATAGGGCTGGACCCTTGGGAAATCTCTGCAAATAATAATGTAAAGATCTGCCCTATTTACTAGCTGTCTTCTCAGCACAAAAGAAGTACAGACTGCCCATTATGAGAAATTTTACAGCAGTTACTTGCACTTGCTGACCAAGTAATTAGGGGCAGGAAAATACTAGGAGCCACATTTGAAAGAAGCTGAAGGGGAATTATCCTTTACAGGATATTTCACCTGTTGATATCTGCGATTGTGAAGCTCTCATTGAAGGATTTTATGCTTGTTAAGAGTATATGTAGATGGAAGAAGATGTGGGACAAGTACTAGGAAGATAAATGCATTGAGAATTGATAAATACTGAGGGAGTAGTCAGAGAAAAATAGCTATAGCATCCTGAAAACAGTTATATTATCCTGGTCACCAGCTACTGCTAGATTCAGGTTGCACCTTTAGAAACTGCTCTAATGTGACCTGTGGCCAGGGTCTTAAGTCTTTTTCTGTGTCACTGATTTGTGATGCCAAAATAAGAAGCTGTCTAGCTAAAGGAAAGAAATGAAGAGGTCATGAAAAGACATAGTGTTTGATCTTCTCAGTGCTCCACCCTATGTATCCACTGAAATTGAGGAAAACCCTTCCTTCAAGTAATAGGAACTGGAGTTGCATTTTTATTTAGCAGAGCACACCTGGCACTGACTTGAGAGGAGTGCAGGATATTTGTAAGGCAGAAGTTGTCAGCTCTCAGATATGCTTGAATTTTTACGTTGGCCTGCCATGTTGAATCTGGGAGTGACAATTCAGCACAGCAAGAGTTGTGGTGACATGTAAATGCATCACTATAGTGCCTCAGGGAGATAACCAATTGCCAGCATCAAAGAGCAAGAAAAGATACCTAGTGACAGGAAAATGTAAACTAATAATTCATTCCCTTTATAGAGAATCCAAACATGCTATTTTATTAAGCTGATTTGAGATACCTTCATCTTGAGAAGAACTTGTCTACACACGTCTCGTTCTACCAAAGTGCTATTGCAAGTGTTGATATGTCTGTGAATATCAGGCTGCTGATTTGTGAAGGCCTCTACTAAGGTTTGGAGAATGAGGAATTAGATAAATCTTTTATTATTTTTTTAGTTTTCATTAGTTTTTGTGATCAGATTATAGGTATCATAATTAAAAAACGTTGGAACAACTTAGTGACATTTTTCACAACATCCTATAGGACTAAGTTTAATTTACTAAAAATAGAAAAGTTTTATCTAATTATTTAATGAAAGTGTGAGTCAGACATGCACATTAAAAAGAGAACTGAATTTGCTGGTTTTTAGATAAGGGAAGTGAACTTAGGTTCCAGAAATATTTAGTTCCTGTAAAAATAGCAATTTGGGGTTTTCTCCTGTCTTCCTGTGTGCTTTCTGGGTCTTCAGAAGAGTGTCCTTCACATCCTACCTGCAGTGTGGAATAGTAAAGAAGTCCATATAAATAGTATTAATTTTAAACTCCCATTTTATTGCTGCTGAATGGTATAAAAGGTTTGTTTTGAAAGAAATAGTGTCACATCAATCAAGGCCTTGAAATTAAGTCTATTTAAATGACAGTTTTCCCATTGATTTCAGTTGACTGTCTACAATTCTAAAGACTTCATCTCTAAATACTTAATCCAGCATGTAGCTGGACTAATAAACTTTCATTTTCTTGATATAAAAGAAAATTCTTTGATTTAGGATTTTGACAGTTGTGATGACCACAAGCAAAGGAAGTCTTTCAGGGAGGGAGGTCATATTTTTTTGTAAGACTAGTTGACATACGCAGAAAAAAATGACACATTTTTTGGGCAAACAAGGCCTTTTTGAGAATCATTAGCCTTCAGCAAATTACAGGTTAGAAACAAATTTTCAGAGTTTAATTTATTGCATTATCTGGGTAGTCAAATTGAGTGAATAGGGTGGTTACTACCTGCTGAGCAAAGGAGGATGTTTCAAGGCAGGAGGTGATAAGGCTCTTATTCCCTGTAGGAAAGGAAGAGAGATGGCTAATTATTGTCATAGGAGTTAGCAGGGGATAAAGAAAATGGGGGAGAATGTAGTTTGCTGTAAAGCCAAGGCTTAAA